TAAATTGTAAATTCAATTTTAGATCTAAATCTACATTGGGATACATAACAATAGATTAATTTGAAAAAAGTGGCTCACTTACAGCAAAATAAGGAGGTCAGTTTTTTTTTTTTGAAAAGCAAAATATTTATTAATTTTGGAATACTGGGGGTATTCCAACCCGTTAAATACATAATTCAGCATGTCAGATTACCAAAATCCTTCCGACCACTGAAAAAGAGCAGAACCTCATATTGTCCTAGCAAGTACTAGTTCAAACTCTATCTTTCTAGTTGAATTTGGGCTTTAAACAATTGCTTGGATTCTCGCACCAAGCTGATATAGAGAACCCATCCATTTCTGCAATGTTTTATGCCCCGTAGAAAGAAGGAATTTGAACTAGCAGAAAGAAGTTATCGACCTATGCTTCCTTCTTGTTGAAAATCAATCCCTTCCATCCTTACCAGTATTTACATACCTTTTCTTCCTGCTGCACCAGTTCTTTAAGCAGGCTAATGGATTCTAGAACCAATCTGATAGTGAGAAGGTGCAGCTTTTCGATTTGCATTTTATCCAACTAAAGGCTCTTAGCTAGACCAGTTCGAGGAGTCTGTTCTCATCCACCTCTTTGCCTCTGAAAATCCTTTCATTTTTAGCTAACCAAAGTGTCCATACAACAGCAAACCAAATGCAGCTCTAGCCCTCTTTTTTCCCTGCCATTTTGATTACTGTTGAGTGTTGATGGAATACCTTTAAGCAATCTTTGTCCAGAGCTGATTTTATCCTCCACCATCTGAAGCATGCATTCCAAAGGTTGTGGGCAACGCTGCAGTGGATGAAAAGGTGGCTGGTTTCCTCTGTTTGGCTACCGCATAAGTCACATCTACCATCCTCTATGCCATGAGTTATACCCCTTTTGATTAAATTGATCTTTGTAGGTATTTTATCCTGTAGCACTTGCCACGAAAATGCTGAAATTTTGTTTGGCACAATTGTGTTCCAGACTTTGTGGAGAGCCAACTATTGTTGTTCCGTTCCGTGCTCCTTCGTGAGTGCTTGGTAGGCTGACTTTGATGAATAATCTCCATCTTTACAATGACCCCACTCCCATATATCATCTTTTCCTCTTGTGATTGTAATGTCGTTGATCATTTTCATGAGCTCTGATACTTCTTGTTCTTCCCAGCTATGCAATCCTCTTCTCCATTCCAAATGCCATGTCCATGTTTCGTTGAGCCACCCTCCCGACTGTGAAACTTTGAAATCCTTTCCTGCAGATAATAAATAAAGCCTAGGGAATCTATTCGCCAGTTGACCTTCCCCACACCATTCATCCCACTAGAATTTTATGCTACCCCCGTATCCCACTCTGATTTTGAACCCCTCCACTAACCACCCCTCATGCTTGCACTCAATATTGTTCAATCTACAAATGTCCCTCCACCAAGTTGATCTGTAGCCAATATTCTCCCTCAGCCAATTATAACTAGGTTCTCCCTCTTTCCCATATTTTTCTAAGATCACTTTTTTCCAAAGCCCATCGTCCTTGTTCACTAATTTGCCCCACCATTTGCCTAGCAGCGCCAAATTAAATTTCCTTAAGTCCTTCACTCCTAATCCCCCTAGTTCTTTATCATTGCATACCGTATCGCATTTGACCCAATTTATTTTCTTACCTCCCTCAATCCCACCCCACAAAAATCTTCTACGAATTTTATCAAGAGAAAGAATTGTACCTTTCGGGATCAAGTTCATCGACATCCAAAACACGGGGAGACTGGATAGCACTGAATTAATGAGAGTGATCTGACTGCCAAGAGATAAGTACCAACCTTTCCATGTTGTTAATTTCTTGTGGAAGACCTCCACTAGCGGCTTCCAAAAGGAAATCTTTCTACAACTACCCCCAATGGGGATCCCCAAGTATTTGAAGGGCAGATTCCCTTTTTTGCAGCACATAATCCACGCCATTTTGTCAATCCACTCTTCCTCTACCCCAATGCCAATTATTAGGCTTTTGTTAAAATTGATCTTTAGCCCTGACACCAGCTCAAATGTTCTCAGAATTCCCTTCATGGCCCAGACATTCTCCTCGGTAGCTTCACCAAAGAGGAGTGTGTCATCTGCATATTGCAGGTGTGAGACCTTGAATCCTCCATGTCCTACTTCCACTCCTTTCAATAACCCATTTTGTATTGCTTTTGAAGCTAACTCGTTGATCCCTTCTGTGATGATTAAAAATAAGAAAGGTGACAGTGGATCCCTTTGCCGCAGGCCTCTCGAGACCGTGAATTGCCTTGTAGGACTGCCATTGACTAGAACTGACACCATGCTGGATTTCAGACACTCCATAATCCATTTCCTCCACTTAGTAGAAAATCCCATCTTCTGCCGCATAAAATCCAAGAAGCTCCAGCTAACCTTGTCGTAAGCTTTCTCAAAATCAATCTTGAGCATAAAGGCTTTCTTCTTCTTCTTTTTTGTTTCATCCACAACCTCATTTGCTATCATGACCCCGTCCATCAATTGTCTTCCGCTTATAAATGCCATTTGCTGTTCACCCACTACCCTTGCCAACACATTCTTAAGACGGTTGGTTAGAGATTTGGCAAGAATTTTATACACCGCCCCAATAAGCAAAATAGGTCTGTATTCTTCAATTTTCTGTGGGTTTTCTACTTTTGGCACCAGCACAATGAAGGAGGTCAATTAAACTAAGTGAATTTCACCAAGCGGCTCGATGGTCACGCGCCTCATTGAGGCCGGTGGGCTGTTCATCAGATCTGAGGATCGAATCCCCAGTTACTAATATCTAACAATACTAACCTATTAATTACTGCCCTTATTAAAAAAAAATAAATAAATAAAACTGCTGAGCATATCCAGGCTGCATATTCTATGAAGTGATATTTTCAAAGAAAAAAAGTGCCAGTTCCATGAAGGTTAATAATGGATTTCAGTGTGGTTTGACCTATGGAAAGGTGTGTCATGCCTCAAAAAGTAAAGTATGATCAACACTTGTAGCATATGAATCTGATCCCAAAATTGGCAATGCACGTGATTCTAATGCCTGCTACCCAGTAGCATATATAGAAGTCAGAGTCTTTGAGACCAAAGATCTAATGGCTGATCCCCGTAGACTTGTTAAACCTTGATTTCTATGTACCCACATTGGATGAGATGAGATTTTTGGAATCCAGCTACCATTTCTTGTAATTTACTGATCCACAAGTCAGCTGCGGGGAAAGAAGCTTCGATTCAAGATTTCATAAACTTTTTTGATTTTTTGTCTTTTATTTTATGTAAATAGAAAGAGGTTTTTTTTTTTTTTTTTAATATGAAACTGTTACTATGATTGTAATTATTAACTATTTATGAAAAAATTAATAATATATATGTATATATATGATTTTAAGACTTTTATCATACGCATAACCATAGTGGATACGCTCTAGAATTAAAGGAATAGAATATTTTGCTCAAATTAGTTTGTGATTCAGGATCAGTATAGCTGTTGACATTAATCAAAAGTAATTGGTTCCCATGGCAGATTGAATTCCTAACCTTGATTTCAAATAATTAATTCGTTTAATGGACATTTGGGCTCAAGGATTGAGGATAACTCCAACCACAGGTTCAGCTTCAGGAAATCGGTTATCATAATAGGCTTATTTTTATAACGGACTCAATCAACTTGAGCTGAAAACATATAGGCTCTTTTTTTTTGTATTAATCTCTAGGTATTTAAGTAATTATATTGGATCTCGATTAATATAAAATCAAATCACTTTGGATCCATAAGGAGAAAACTCTTTCAGTATTTATTTTTTTATTCATAAAATTTAAATTTAAAATTTTTTTTAAGAAAAACCAAGTTTTTCCTACTCAATTTAACACTTATGGTAAAATATACGGACTCATTGAAAGAATTGAATGAGTGGTCATCATGGGCTTAGACTGATGTGAATCTGATTCAACGCGAACAGACGAGCAAGCGAAAAATCTAAATGAAGTTCA